ACATCATTTGATCTCATTGTTGAAAAAAAGCCTATAAATATGACTAAACCTATAACTTTAGTCTACTCACGCATTAATATGAACTTCAACATCATAATCAACAAACTAAAGCAGAGTTTCCTACACAAAATAAAAAAGAGAAAGAAATTAATTTACAAAGGCATGAAAGCATAAAAACTAATATATCATTTATAATAAGTGTAAAACAAAAAAAAAAATCGACATTAACAGATTAGTCCATCTGCAAGAAACGTTTATAGGTAACCATATATTATACTTTAACAGGAAGATTACATTTCCAGATGAGAAAGCAGAGGGAGCAATTTGAAGCCATTTTTGGTACTCAATCAAGTAGCAAATCGAAGTCCAAGTCATCCATGAAACAACTGAAACATAAATAAGTGGACACAAAGATCTATCAAACCATGAAAACCCAAACCCATTAGAAATTAAAATCTTAAATCTTAGCACAAAATATAATTTTAAAAAAATCTGAAGAACATGAGAGAAGGGAAAACATGTAAAGCATGTAAATCGTCAATCAAATAACCAAGGAAAAATAAATTGAATTTCTAAATCTCCCTAAACCCAAAATTCTAACGTGATTGTGGAAAGACAGAAGGAACAATGGACAAGAGGGAAAGAATGAGGTAGACAACAAAAAACCCTAAGGTAGGTGAAAACTGTAGGCATGCGGACGGCCGAAGTTGATCTCATGTCAAAAGCAGACCAAACCCTAACCCTACACAATAAACCCCCTGCCTTCCAAAATAACCCCTTGAAAAACCATGTGACAAAAAAATAAAAGAGGCCACATGTCAGCATCTTAGCCATTGGGAGACGTGGCCAATTTTGAAAGTCTCTTTGAGACATTCTTTTGTATAGAGTTATTGATTATATGCAAAAAATAGCCAAAACATTGAAATACAACGAATCTATGACAAGGGTTGATGCTTATTTGTTTCCATTAATCTCTTGGATAAAAATATTGATATCAAATCCTCCACAGAAATTCTCACCTTCAAATAATTCAACTTTGCCAATTTATCACTTTAAAGTTGAAAATTTTCTGTTCAATTAACTTTGTGCCAACTCCACTTCCTCTTGGTTTTCCTTCAAACTATCATTTCACTTCTCAAGACAGATTAACTGATCAAACATGCGAAAAATTATCAAATTTCAAATAAGCGCTCTTGATCACAAGGTATGTCTAGGATCATGCCAAACAATTGACATTCACTATTAAGCATTTCACCAAAATGTTCCAAAGGGAACACCTAACTTTTGACAACTTCTAGGTTTTAGGTATATAATTCTTGACAAGAGAGCATAGGATGAGAAACTTCGAAGTGCTAAATCTTTACATATTTTGGTAACCCCAAAAATTTCGTTCGTGTAAGAACCTAGCTATAACATCTCATGATGCCTTGTCCTTTATGTAGTAATCATTGCACTTTGTATACATATTTTTTTTCATACATACAAGAATTTTTGAAAGGGTAGAGAAGAACGAATTCGAATCTTAAACTTCAATTTTATTAATAAGAGGCAACAATGATTAGGCTTATTCATTTTTATGAGTTCTTTTTTTAAATGGGCCCTATGCATAAAGTGTTTCTAACAATAGATCTCTTTATAATTTTAATTGTTTTTAGTCAAGAGAATTAAAATTTGGGTAAAATTTTTTTTAATGAAACCGACCCATTTATTTGGCTCCGTACCTCAACCTGAAACCTATTAACGAGTCAAGTATGTTTAGGTCTACGTCTCAAACCAACTCATATTCTTTGAGCTTTCCTTGTCAGACTATTCATCTTTAGAGTATTGCCTACCAGAAAGAAAAACGTTTAAGCATTTTGAGCATTTTGGAGTAATTTTTAATACACATAGAAAACTTTTGGGCGTTTTGAGTATTGTTAAGAATTTTGAGTGATTTTTTATATATAAAGAAAAACCTTCGAACATTTTGAGCATTTTTTGTCAAGTGGGCATATTCGTTAATTATGCTATTAAATGGAATATGATGTATCGTTTGAAGTTGTTGATCTTGTTAAATGAAATTCAGTAATTTTAGTGATTTTTAGACATTGCGTGACTAGTTTTAGGTATTACGTAATTGACTTTAGACATTACATGACTACCTTTGAACATTACATGACTAGTTTTAAACATTACGTGACTAATTTTTAGGTATTATGTGATTGACTTTGGGCACAGTATGACTAGTTTTTAAGTATTGTGTGACTGGTTGATATGACATTGGATGACTAGTCGATAGGTATTGCGTGACTTGTTAGTAAGGCATTATGTGACTAGTTAGTAAGGCATTGCGTGACTATTTTTAAGGCATTTGTGACTTAGGCATTTCTTAAAAATCATTCATGCAATGCTTAAAAACCAATCATGCAATTCCTATAATTAATCAAGTAATGTCTAAAAACTAATCATGTAGTGATTAAGTCACTTAATGCCTAAAAATCAATCTCGTAATACTTAAAAATCAGTTTAATCAATTTTAGCTCCTCAAATTTGAGATTCTATGAATAAACTATTAAACTCAAGAACTTCAAACACACACACACACACACACATATATATATATATATATATTGCTAAGCCATAAAATTGTGCATTTCATAAAAAATAAGTTACAAAACTCCATAACCCTCCAAACCAAGACAAAATATATCCATATTGGGAGGGCCTTGCTCACTTCCCTTATGCAAAAACAAAATATATTCCCTTTACAAAATATTTCCTGAATAATTTCAACTCAAAATCTCATAAAAAAAATCAACATCTCTAGTAAACATGCTTAACAATCATTCCAATCTCAAACACAACAAAATTGTGAATCACCATAAAACCCATTAAACATACTTTAGCTGTTCCTTCTCTGAGCCCATCATCTTAACCAATTTGATCCAACTCATCAACACAAGCATCTCCATTGCAGCACACGTTTCGAAGCAAGTCATCACCAAAAAGTATCTAGTTACCACATTCATCATGTTGCCTGCAATCACCATAGAAGAGCAAAATCGTTGTTTCTTACCATTGAGAACCCCAAGATCCACCATCCAAAAAAATAAAACAAAATAAGAAAGAACTTGATGTCATCTCTACTCTTTAGATGGCAAGATAAACAGTATTTGATCAGAGAGAGAAATGGAGATTTAATTTTAAAATTTTTGTCTAGATGGCAGGATAGAGAAAATTGAAATCATTTTAATTTGTCTGAAATTATTTAAAGGGTATTGTTGTCAAGTCATAGCAAAAATTGACTAAAAATAGTTAAAATTATAAAAAAAAAGGATATTTTTGAATTGAGTTTATGAGGAAGGTTATCTCTCATAATTTTCTCTATTTTATTTGTACTTGTTTCAGAAGTTGTCTTCTTATGTGTGTTTATTTATGTATACTCTATGTTGTAGACAAATATGTTATATGAATTAAATTCAAATATATTGGCCAAAAAAAAAATCAAATTCAAAAGCTAAGAATAGTTAGAGAGATCAATAGCTAAGCAAAGGGCTATATTTGAATTTGAGTCATATAACATATTTGTTTATTCTAAATAGTCCACATAAATTATTACATATAAGAATGCAAAGAAGTACAAAATGTGTTAGCCTAATCTTGTTCCCTCTTATTAATAAAGTAGAGATTTAATATTTGAATTCTTTCTTTTCTACCCTTTAAAATTTCTTTTATATAAATATATATGTATAAATATAAATAGATAGATATACACAAAATGCACTAATTACTACATGGAGGAAGAAAGAGAGAGATAGAGCTGCATATCAAGAACTTGTTTGGTCTAACTTTTTTCTAGCTTAAAAGCCATTATGAAGCTCTTATGAAAAATAATGGCTTTTAGAATTAAGCTGAAGTTGTTTAGTAAATTTTTTTTATAAGTTCTTTTTTATAAGTTATAATTTTGGTTAAAATTATGGTAAAGGGTATTTTTTTTTTGAGAGGGTTATATTGAAATTATTTTTAACAGATGAGTATATTTTTGAAACAAAAATAAAAATTTCTTGTATTTTTAAAAAAATGGAAGAAAAAGCTCCTCATAAGCGCTTTTCCTAAAGCTCTTTTTTAAAAAATTTTATTCTTTAAAAAAAAGTTACTTTTTTTTAAGATTTTTTCAAAATTTATATTTGACTTGGCTTTTGCTTTTAAGAGATAAATGAGCTGAAAAAAAACCAAACCAAACAAGCACCAAGTCTCCAACTTCAATATGAACTACTTCAATTTAATTTAACCCTTCAATGTTAACCATGCTGAACAATCAGTTTTATTGGCCATCGGCATTGCTAATAATTGACTTTTTGCTTCTTTGCTACATAATACTAACAAATAACTTGAATTGATTTAAAAGATATATATGTATACATAATAAATAACTGAAAATATCATGTCCAATCCAACTGATTCCCTATTCTTTTATGGAGCCGTCGATTTTAAGGGTGTATAAACCCTTGTGGTCTATGAGCTAAAAGAATATGTTTTTATTACAAGTACAAATATGTTTTTTTGGTCAAAATTAACAAACTGGACTGCCCAATCACCTGTGATAAAAATTAAACATTTTACAAGTAAGTCTACGTGTTTGAAAGCATTAAATTATTGAGTTAATTTACGTGTCTAAGAATTTCTAATATTCGTTATTAATGTCATAGATAATAATTCATACTAATCTATTACGAGAAACTATTATCAATACTAATTAAATGATACAACCCAAATGTGTCAAATTGATGAGCAGCATGGCCACGCCGAACCAAAATTAAAATTGGAAAAGCCATATGATAGTAGCCAACCACCTCAAACCCAGAACCAATCAATCCATATAAACTAAAGAATATAATAACGAAAGAGTTTTTGGGTTTTTTTTTTCATCTCTGCACGCAAATATAGACAAACACTGACCCCTAGATTTCCTTTTTGTACTTGGTATTCTTCTTCTTTGTCCAAACCCCTTACCTTCTCTCCCCCAAAACCCCAATTTCTCTTCTTCACTTCCTTGGGTACTCGTCGAAATAATATTCTTGTATGTTAGAAACCATCAATATATCTTTGATGCAAGTTTTTATGACTTCCTCTCTTTCTCGCAAGGAATCTGCGTGTTTCTTACACGCCTTGTCCCCTTCTTCCTTCGGTCCTCCCGAACAAGGCACCTGGTATTATCGTTGCCTTGGCCTTGACCCTTAAACCCCCTCCAACCCGTTCTTTTTTTCCTCTCTCTCGCTCTAAATACTCTCTTTTCTTTTATTTATTTTTCCTTTTTCTCTGAATTAGAACCTCGCTTTTTATCTTCCTATACGTTTCTCAAAAGAAAAAGAAGACTAATTAAAAAGATGATGAAGAGGAATGTGCATGAGAAAATGATGCCACAAACGCAAAAGAAGAAGGGAAATGAGAACAAGAATGTGAAGAAAAGCATCAGGTTCTTGATTACTATCAATGTTCTTGGCAGTGCAGGGCCTTTAAGGTTCCTGGTGAATCAGGATGATCTTGTTGCTGCTGTTATTGATGTCGCCTTGAAATCTTATGCTCGCGAAGGCCGCCTTCCGGTTCTCGGTTTAGACCCCAACAAGTTTCTTCTCTACTGTGCAAATGCAGGGTCAGATGGTATATATGCTTACATACCCTTATTTTAGATTTTTGTTTGTTCTTATTTATTTTTTTTAAACGTATCAAACTTTGATTCTCAACTCTCTTTAAAGAACGGTATAAAAACAATCGCTTGGCCACAATTTTTCGTTATGATCGTGTTCTTCTTTAAAGAACGGTATTTCTTTGTATTTTTGTTGCTGTTTTTTTTTTTTTATTTAGTATTTGGTGATATCAGAATGTACCCCCTTTTGGTCAAGAAATTGTAATTTTTTATCTAATAACGGTTTTTATGTGGGTCATTTTTTACATTTTTTTTATTTTAATTTTGGGTTTCTTTTCTTTAGCTTTGAGTCCATGGGAAAAGATAGGATCTCAAGGAGGAAGGAATTTTGTGCTATGCAAGAAGCAGGTGCAGCCACAGATGACTGAGGCAAGGTCTGAGATCATAAAACAAAAGGGAAGTGGTTGGAAGGCTTGGCTCAACAAATCCTTCAGTTTCAAGATTTTGTCTCATTAAGATTAATATAATCTTGCTCGTGAGAAAATTCTGTTTATTAGCTAAAAGGGTCAGACCATGGGTAAAACCATAATCTGGCCAGATACGAAATGCAATAGTAAGTTCTAATGCTTTTGAGGTGGAAAACGTATTTAGCTATCGGTATATGTTCTCCTTGTAAATAATTGAAATAATATGCCCCCATGTGGTACTTTGGAAAGGAATGGCATTTTTCTTTCTTTTCTTTTCTTTTCTTTCTTAGCTTTTACATTCCATTTGTTTTTACTTTTCTTTTTTGTTTTTCTGTATTGGTTGTTCTTTCCTATGAAAGTGATGGTTGGCTGGATGATGTGTATGATGACAATCTTGGAACTTAATCCATGCGTGGACATCAAAATAGGAAAAGTAAATAACAAGCTGAAGAATCTGGGAAGCTAAAAGAATAAGAATAATACTTTGTCAAAGACTCAGAGGCTTAGGTTCATAGCTTGGTACTGTCTCTTTGCATAGATTCTACTGGGGGAGGACCTAAATTATTACTATGTCAGCAAAATTCATATTCATTTGGGATTTGTATAAATTTTGATGTATTATCAGTCTGTAATATCTTGTCAACTAAAGATACGTCATTCTCATCTTGTTAAACAGATAAGGTTAAAATTTAAGAGATCTATCTAAAATTGACAAAAGTTGTCCTCGCCTCAAAAAATCTTATAAATATATATGATCTCAAAATGTTAACTTTAAAGTTTATTTATTGATAAACTAGCAATATATATTACAATTATATTATAAAGAATTTATATTTTTAGTGGTGCATCAAATCAACATAACAAAATATATTATTATATTACATATATGCATGAACTCTAAAAAATACTCTTGAAATTTATTAAATTAATTATTTTAGAGTTTGTATTTGATACACTGACAGTGTATATAAGCTATACACTGTCAAGCCACCAAAATACGTCACCTCATTAATAAGATAAGATCAGAATTCATTAGGAACTTAAAATTAAATATTAAAAAGTTTTTAACATTTAATGAGGTAAAAAAATTTTACTCTCTCTAAAATCTCTTCCACATTTCTCTCTAACCCTTCTAATCTGAAAAATTTTTACAAATTTTCCATACCTCTCTAAAAATTCTTTAGAATCTTGTTTTTCTTCTTTTTGGTTTAAGGTTGTTTTATTCTTTTGGGTTTAAAGTGCAAAGAGGAAGAGTAACTTTCTCTCTAAACTCCAATCCACCTTTCCCTCTAACCTTCTCTTGTTCTCTTTAAACACTCAAAAATTCATTCAAGTTCAATATTACTTTACATGTGATTGATTAAGATTTGAACTCAACAATGAAATTTTCAATTTAGGGTGTGAGATTTGAGATTGAGAGTCTTTAGTCTATATTATTGTTATCGATTCAATTAGCTTTTTTTATAGGATCATAATGCGGTATTACTTTTTATATGTTTTATAATGAAAGAACTCATGGATTAATTTTTTTTTTGAAGAGTACTCATGGATTGATTTAACAATCTTAATTCCTTAAAACATGAGACATGCAAAATTTTTATTTTGATTAGTTCCTATGGTATTAGACATAAGTTAGGTATGTTATCCCATTTTTGCAATCACCCTAAATCTAGATCTAGAAACAAGTAGAGATGATAATAGTGCAAAGAGGAAGAAATCGTGGAAGAGAGTTTAGAGAGAAAGTGAAAAACTTTTAATTATCATCGCTCTTAAAATTGCATAATTTTATCAAATTTAATCTTAATGGAAGAAGAAAAGGAGAAGAAGATAATGGGGTTGGAGAGAAACAAATAAAAACAAAAAAAGAACAATAGAGAGGAAGTTGGAGAGAGAAAAAAATATTTTTTTATAAAAATTATTAATATTTAATTTTAAGTCCCTAATGAAATTTAATTTTGAGGTGTCACAATTTGGTAGCTTAATAGTGTATATGAAGATATATATTGTTAGTGCATCAAATATAAATCTATTATTTTATTTTACTAAAGTAAACTTTTCTAAATTGATAATTTTTTATTAAATTAAATATTGATTAATTTAAATATTTATCTATTTCCATCCATTATGAAAAACACGCTATCACCGATGGAATTCATTGCATCGATGAAAATCTGTCAATAATTGTCAACAGATTGCCGATCGAATGAAGATGACATGGACAAAACAATGAAATTTAACGAGAAAAAATGAGTAGTCGATAATGACTTGTCCCAAATAAATAGGAATGATGCAAATTACCAACTAATGATGCCGTCGATAATTTACTTTATCAACGAAATTATCGATTGAATAATGTTCGCTTATCGATTACCATTTTACCGACCGAATATAGGATCGGTAATGGGTGTTTATGGACTTTTGAATTTTCATCGGTAATTCAAAAAATAAGAGGCCTTACGGGGCCTATTCTCTTTCTTATTTCACTTTCTTTTCTCTTCTCCCTCACCCATCCCTGATGTCATTGATCCTTCCCTGTACCGTTGATCGGCAAACCCACCACCCCATTGTCAACCACAACGAACCTTGCCACTGACTGACCCCTCCCTTGCCTTTTTGTCTTTCCTTTCTTCTTTCCCCCAGCCCCCCTTTGCCACCAACCCTTCCTTGCCTTCCCTGTACCCTAATCAACAAACCCACCACCTCGCCATCGACCCCTCCCTCACTTCTCTCTCTTCTCTTTCTTGGGTGTGCCACGTCTTCTTCCTCAATTGGTACTCATAAGGTTAAAAAAAATATTTAATTTTGTAATGATGTTGTTATTTAATTTGTATTATTGTTGTGGAATAATTATGTTATTGCAATATATATTGTTGTTTTTGTGATATTTTGGTGTTGTAATATCGTTGTTTTGGTGATATTTTGGTGTTGTTGTAATATTGTTATTTTTGTTTGTGATGCTCAAAAGGCATTTGGTTAGTCACGTATAAATTTATAAGCAAACTTAATTGATTTTTATATTAAGGCAATATCTAATTATAACACTGTAATTTGTTGATGGGTAAAATAATATTATACTCTTATAATTAATTGTGCTTAAAGATGTCAAAATGGGTTGACCTGGCTCAGCCCAATCCAAACCCTTGTGGGTCAAGAAAATGTGAGTTAGGTCGCGTTAGTTTATTTTTTATATGGACAATCAAAATTTCAACCTAGCCCATCATTTATCAAATCATGGATTAGGTTGAGCCAGTGTATTTTTTTTTAAAAAAAATTATTTTTATAATTTTACCTAATAAATTATCTATCAATAAAATTATTTCATAATTAAATTCATAAATTGAATAATAAAAAATATATTATAAATAAATAAATTACATCAAATATAAATAATAAAATAAATTACATCAAATAAATTTGTTTTGTGGTATTTAAATTGTTGTTATGGTATAATTGTATTGATGTAATATATATTGTGTTTTCGTGGTATTTTTGCTTGTGGTACTTGAAAGTCATTTTGTTAGTCACTTAGAGCAGCGGCTCAATAACCTCAAAGGCGTAAACAAAACTATTCAAATAAGGCTTTTTTATTGAAATTAAAAAAAAAATTAAAGTTTTGAATAACCAAATTCATATTTTCGATTTGATATATTCAAATATTTATTATGAAGTACCTAAAATATTTAACTATTATAATTCTTTTATATTTTAAATGGCTAATATAAAATCAATAATCAAAATTTTTAATTAAAATAAATTAATTATCACATAAAATAAAGATAATATAACAATATAATATAAACTCTAAATTAAAGTAAAAAGGTCTACAAAGATTAGAATAATAGTACCTAATTGTTGAATGCTTATTGCAAATTATAAATGAGACTCACAACTTTATGAAAATAATAACATAACAAACTTCTTGTGTATTCTTTAGAGGAAATATGAAGCTAGAAGAAGAAAGAGCAAATGATGAAAAAAAATTCAAGAGTGGATTTTATAAATTGAAAAAAAGAATAAGATAGTTGGGAAGTGATAAAAAATGAAGAAATTGTGAGAAATACCCTTCCTCATAAGCTCAATTAAAAAATATCATTTTTTATAATTTTAACTATTTTTAGTCAATTATTAGCATGACTTGATTACAATGCCCTTTAAACAATTTCAGACAAATTAAAATGGTTTCAGTTTTTTCTATCTCACCATCCAGATAAAAATTTTAAAATTAAATCTCAATTTTTTCTCTGGTCAAATACTGTCTATCTTGCCATCCAAAGAGTAGAGATGACATCAAGCTCTTTCTTATTTTATTTTATTTTTTGGATGATGGATCTTAGAGTTCTCAAAGGTGATGAACAACAATTTTGCTTTTCTATGGTGATTGCAGACAGCATGATGAACGTCGTAACTGGATGCTTTCTAGTGATGACTTACTTCGAAACGTGTGCTGCGATGGAGATGCCTATGTTGATGAGTTGGATCAGATTGGTTAAGATGATGGGCTCAAGGAGAAGGAATAGCTAAAACATGTTTGATTGATTTTATGGTGGTTCACGGTTTTGTTATGTTTGAGATTGGGATGATTGTTAAGCATGTTTACTAGGGATTTTAATTCTTTTTATGAGATTTTGAGTTGAAATTGTTCAAAGAATATTTTGTAAAAGGAGTATATTTTGTTTTTGTATAAAGGGAGTGAGTAAGGCCCTCCCAATAAGGATATATTTTATCTTACTTTAGAGGGTTATGGAGTTTTGTAACATATCTTTTATGAAATGCACAATTTCATGGCTTAGCAAAAAAAAAGTATATGTTTTAGGTTCTTGAGTTTATTGGTTTATTCATAGAATCTCAAAGTTAAGGAATTAAAATTGATTAGATTGATTTTTAAGTATTGCGAGATTAATTTTTAGGCATTACGTGATTGATTTTATACATTGCGTGACCGGTTTTTAGGCATTACATAATTGATTTTTAAACAATGACTAAGTCACACAATGCCTTACTAACTAGTCAAGCAATACCTTACTAACAAGTCACGCAATGCTTATCAACTAATCACGCAATGTCATATCAACTAATCACACAATACTTAAAAACTAGTCACGTCATACCCAAAGTTAATCATATAATACTTAAAAACTAGTCACGTAATATTCAAAGTCAGTCACGTAATACCCAAATACTAGTTACACAATGTCCAAAAATCGATTAAGCAATGTTTAAAAACCACCAAAACTACTAAATTTC